AGAATGAGGGACACATCCAATAAGAATACAAGAAAGAAAAGCAACTGTAGCACAGAGCAAGGAGGTGTAGAAGGAACGAGAAAATCGAGAAAGAAACCTGTTGGAGAGCATAAAAAGTGAACACAAGCACACGGAAGCAGAAGAAACTCACAAAAACAAGTGTGGAAGAGAGAATATCAAGACAGACAGAATTAAGCGGCCCATAAAAATTACGCTGCTTAACCTAGTAGCTTTGTAGGATGAATATTAGGGACAGTGTGTGGCAGAATAGAGGTGACCATGCAAAGTGCAGGATATGACAGTGGGGGTTACTGAGCTCTCCATAGCTTAGAACAGGAACAACTTTTACAGTTCATGTCTATGCTGACCCAGGCACCCCTTTCCTACCAACAAAGGAACCCTCTACATATGTGTATACATGAGATAGATGCATACCAAAAGGTTCCTGCAAGCTACATGAAGGCAGCCAATTTACTGAGTAGTAATGAGATACATAGCCAGTGTTTATACTTTGTTAAGACCCTCCCATCCCTCCCCGTGCCACAATTATGATCCTTCATTCAGTTTTCTTCTTTAATGCTCCAGGGAGCTTGGCTTGAATCCTGTAAGAAAACAAAGATGCATTTTACAGATGTCTTACAGTGACTTAATCACATTAAAATAAATGGATAGGTATAAAAGTGCAGGCATCCAGGAGGGGACCTGCAGTAAGCAGGCAAAAAAAAACCCCCCAAAATAAAACCAAAAACAGAAAACACTAACAGAACAGCCTGACATTTAGGTATACATGAGATAATAAAAACTGCTGCATATTCGCACAATCACCTACGGGTGCCTGAACTTCATACCTTCTAGCAGATTTGTTTATTGCAAATATCAGGGTCACTTTAAACCACACTAATAAAACGACTACTTAAAGCAATCCTTGCATTAAATGTTACTATCTTTCCAAGAAGATTCCTGGGGAGACACAAGTACGCCCCATATCTCACGAGAGGACACTCTAGCCCAGTGCAAGAGCATCTTCTTGCAAGATTTAGGATCCTCAGCATCCTGTTGGAAGAATCATTAAAGCAAGGAGTTAAAAGGTAGAAGGGGAGGTTAAGTAATCCTTTTCTTGGGAGTCCACTGAGAGAGACAGAGTCTTTAGCCTTTGGGTTATACTGCCACATACAGGAAGAATGGACATTGGCAAACAACAACTGTAGGCCAGCCCAGGATAACCCCTTCTGCCAGTAATCCCCAGTTTAGCAGCAAAGCAGTACAAAGATCATAATCACAAATAGAGAAAAGCGAAACCTATGTTCCTCAATGGAACAAACAATGAGTACAAAAATCCTATTTGTTTTTCTTTCCATTGAGGGACACAGGAGGAGGGGATGTCCAAATGCAGTCAAACTGAGGGATGGGAAACACAGTAAACAAATGTTAAAAACACAAGAAAAATTATATATGAACTGGGTCAGTAGCTGGCATCAGATAATGCCAAAACGTCCACCTAGGAGAAAGTGAGTGAACCAAAGACCAGATGGCAGCCTTGATTTCCCTTGAAAATCTGGGAAACAGTTGCTTGATGCCGGAAAGGCCCAAAAAAAGCAAAAAGATTTAGTAGTGTGTGCCTTGACAAGAAGGGGTGGAACCTGATTCTTGAGACCATAAGCTTGGATAATTGTGTAGCGAAAAGCTGGTGCACCCTTACAAGGATCCACTGCGATTATTAAAAAGGTATCAGACTTCCCGAAAAGAGTGGCTGGGAGACACTCACAGCCTGGACTACATCCAGACTATGGAGAAACGTTTTGTTGAAATGGGGCAAGACAGAGATGGGAGAAGAAGATGAAAGGTAGAAAGTACTTACCCAAGAAATAAGTTCTGGGCCCTAACACATCACTTGGTCACTATGCAAATTCAGAAAATGTTCCTTGCATGATAAGGCCACCAGTTCCTAGCAGAGATGGTGACTGCAAAGAAAACTACCATGTTGGTATGAGTTGAGGGAGGAATGCCTCTAATGGGTTCAAACAAGATTGAAATCTAATAGGGAAGCTGCACAGGAAACCTCTGGAACAAAGATCTTAATCAAAGAGTGGGAAGCAGACAGTCTCAAACAGGACAGAAAGGGCATAAACCTAACCTTTGATAGTACTGACAGCCAAATGCTGGTCCATACCCAGCTGCAGGAAGGGAGGTTTTCACCCCATGGAAAAAAGACCTGGCGTGGACCAGGACTTACACCAAGTGAAGTGCGTCTTCCATGTACAATGACTTATCCCGAGAAGCAGAATTACTAGGTTTCTGGCATCATAAAAATCCCATAACTCAGATGCCTCTGCTCCTCAAAAACAAGGCATCAACAGCAATGGCAAATCATTTTTTAGGATGACAGACAATATGGCACAGCCCATGTGTCTTCCAGGAGTCTTACGAGGTTGATGTACCACATCTGCCCGGGCCAGTCCTGAACAATCAAAATTACAAGAATGCCCTCCATATCAATACTGTGAAGCAAAAGAAGAAAGTTTCAGGGGAGTGAAAGAGTGTTAAGGCTGTACTGATCCCACAGAGCCATCAGAACATTCAATGCATCTGCTAGAAGATTCCTGTACCTGGAGACAAACCAGTCTAGTTTGCTTTTGAATCTAGATGCTATTAGGTCCACATTCCTCTGGCCATCTGGTTGTTTTTACCAATTTCTTAGACTCCCTCATCTTTTACACAGGTCTAGAAACTGATCTCTGCGTGAACAGACTATGCTCCTTGTTAAAGCCATTGCTGTCTGAACAAGACTATGCCATTTGTCTATGCCTGCAATACACGAGGCTGGAGCAAGAAGTTCTGCCCAAGACAGTCACCTCTAGCTCTCTTGATGCAAGAGACTTCTGGTTCCCTTCCTGATGATTCATGTATGCCACCACCATGGCATTATCTGACTGAATTCAGATTAGATGGCTCTTCAGTAACATGGTTCAATGTTGCAGTGACAGTCAAATTGCTTGAAGTTTCAGGATGTTCATCTGGCCAAGACTTTTTTTAATCAAAATACCCTACAGCAAGTAGACTCCTCCCCAGCTTAATAGGTTGGTGTCCATAGTAAGAATTCTTCAAAAGATGTGAATGAAGAACTTCCCTGACTCTAGAGTTGGATTCTTGAGTCACCAGACCAAAAAACAAAAACAAACAATGTGGTCCTCAATCTGTAACTAGATCAACTTGTCCCACAAAGGAGTGTTGTGTTGCAGAGATCTGAAGTACAGCTTGGTGAATGGTACTACTTTTAAAGAGGTTACCATACGCAGAGAGTAACCCAGTTCCCAGCCTGAAGTTTAAATCTGAGACCAGACTATCTAAAGGGATGTCTAAATGTCAAAGGAGTGAAACAAATTATTTCTTTACAGAGCGAAAGGGAGACGACTTTGAAGTTTGGCCCTTCGTTTTCTCCCAATGAGGAAGATGGGTACTCTTGTCACCTGCAGCACACTTGATGCTGTCAAGAGCTGGTCCCTCAAGTCCCTCAGTCACAAATACAGGGAAACCCAGTCCAAGCTGTAGGTTCCTGAAGGGAACCAAACTTCACCTGCCACAGTAAGCATACCCTCGAAGGGGTCTTCAGAATCTGGGTGCAAAAGGTTTGTCAAGGTTAGTGCTGAAAAACAGGATTCAGTGCCCAAAACAAAACATTACATGCCAGCCCCACTGTTGCAGGACCTGGTACAGTTCATAAGAAATGCATCAATGGGAACTGATCTGAAAACTGCTGTTGAGCCCTCAGGCAACAAGCAGTTCGTTATTGACAGAAGTGCCAGCTGAAGTATTTGAAGGAAAAAAAAACAAACAAAAAGAACTTCTGTATAGAAGAACATGTTCATTATCTTGGGATACTAGCAAAAATGAGTGGATGGGATTACACAAAGGTGCACTAGTTGTGTTCACAGGAAAGCCTTTGCCAGTGTCCTATCACCTGACAGTAGCAGCATACAGTATAACCCATGGTCTATGATTTGACGTCCTGTATTGTATGATTAAGATACTCTATTTTTATTCCTTCCAAGTTAATTTTTGCCCTTGTAATAATGGCAATTTTCACAGGAGCAGGGGCCCTGATCTAATTAATAAACCTTACATTTTAAACATATCTATTTTTTCCTCCTCTGACATCCTGAAAATAAGCCCACCACCCCAAAAATTGTACTGTGAGGCCATCTGGTTGTTAATGCCAATTCCCTACTCTTCAGAAAGCATAGAGAACATAAATAATGTCATTTTCATTTGAATGACTCTCCAACCCACACCAGTGGCAGCTTGCTGGCAGACATTACTTAATCCTACATTGAATTAAAGCAACTTTATGAAAATAAAAAATAATATAATTTCTGACCAGACTTATCACCCTGTAGTAGAAAATTATATTTACAGAATCCCCAGCATTCATATGGAATAACTATTTAGCTTGTGAAAAAAAGCAGTATTTTGCTTCATGAATTCAATTTTTGTGCCAATGAAATGTTTACATTCATTGTAAAACAAGAGATTTAGTCATCCAAACATTATTGTACATGCCTTGAAAATCCTTTCATTCATCTTATTTGAAAGAGGGACTCCAATACAATCATGTAAAACCAATAACAAGCTGAAACAATATTCAGCTGCTGAATGGATCATGTACATGAAATTACAGCAAAGGTAACAGGTCACTAGGCTATTTAAGACCAGCAGAAACACTATGTGTTTAATGTTGGCAAGCTGTGGCTTCAATTTACACAATTACTTGACTAAATCTAGTTTACATATTCCCTGAACCCTCTTTTTTCTTTACAGTGGGTACAGAGATACTAGAACATAATGTACAATGTTACTTTTCACATGAATCTTACAAAAAACAGATATTCCACACATTATGTAAAATTAAATTTTACAATAGCAATACACAACACACTTCAGGCGACATCTATTGAACAAGAGGCCCAACTTATCTGCTGCCTTTCATTTCATATGTGCAGTACTCACTTCTCTGTAATTGATTTCACTTGATTGTTCACCAAAGACACATAGTGATCGATCTGTACCTGAAGCACAAAAAACACATTTGTTAAAAAAAAAAAAAAAAAAAAAATCAGAAAAGTTACTGATACATGCAATATTTCATGGAAAAAAACTAGGGATACAAATAAAAGGCAGATAAGGAACTGGGATAAAAAGAGGGGATGGAGACAACACAAAACAAGTAGGAAAACAAGTAAACACTGACAAAGTAAGTGAGAAATGCTTTAAAGTTTGACCATTATTTTTACAGTATTCGGTGTCAGATGGGACAAACTGATAGCACTCTTGGTGCCTTGTAATGTTAGTTGCAATATGAGGAAGGGTCCCCCCCCCCTTGGTTCACAACCACCCAACAGCATGTCTGTTTCACCTCCCTCTGCATTCTTCGTGGAAGTGCTGGGAGCAAGAGAGGTGCTTGCTAGAAAAGCGTCTGTCTCCTTGCTAGCTCCAGTGTTGGGTAGCACCATGCTGCAGCTAGCGTTAAGGAGGGCCTAGGAAAATGGGACAAAGCACTGCATGTACTGTGTCCCATCGGAAACGTAATACTGTAAAAAAAAAAAAAAAAAGTCTAACAAAAAAAACTTGTAGGTTCCCTAAATGTGTAAATAGATCACATAAGACAATGAATGCAACAGAAGCATCGTTATTTTAGCCCCTTTTTGCATGCGTTAAACCGCCCAAATATTTAATATTTTCTAAAAGCAGGGACTCTGGAGAATAAAACTGTGGAAGCTGAAATTCTTTGTCACATTGTATTAGTGAACTTTTTTATCAAACCCATACTTTCAATACAAATACAGTAAAGTTAATTTTAGGGTATGCAAACATACAATATATTACCCATTTTTTTTTGCCCTGCCAAAGCTCTAAACCCAGAAGAAAAGCATGTTTAATCCATGTTGGCTGATCTCCCTCTGCTCTGACCACCATGCCCATCCTGGGCCCAAAGGAGGTACTGCGGAGCCCAGAATAAATAGAGGAAGTTTTAAAGAGTGTGTGTAAGCGATTGGGCAGCCGTCTGAATCACTTTTAATAGAAAGCCATCAGTAGCTTGACTGATGTATGGTGTGTGTGTGTGTGTTAGTAACAGAATTTACTTGCTCTTTGTTGTCTAGCAATTTTTTGCATAGTTAAATGGAGATAAGGGAACTACCTTGTAAATGAAGAAGACAAATAAGCTCCTAAGTGAAACATGTTAGGAGAAGCTTGGCCAGTCTACTCAGCACTAGGTGGAACACACTTCATAGCAGCCAAAAGATCCACACAGCAGCTTTCTTCTTTTTGTCCAAGTGCAATTGTGAGGTAGAGACGAGCTCTACGTGAGCTCACATATTGGTCACCTGCATAAATTCGAGTAGTACATGAAGCCAATATCCAACACTGAAGACAGGCAGAAGTTGGATGTTCACAACATTCATCCCTCCTGTAGAAACTGGACTATGAAAGTGACTATTTACAGTGCTATCCACTTAATACTTCACAGGACATTTTTTTCAACAAAAAGTATATCATCAAATTATAAAAGACACAAAACAAGTTTAGGTATTGCATGCCAATGTGCTAATAACTGTACCTTGTATTTTTCATACACAACTGGAGCAGTGAATGCAACCAACACCCCTAAAAAAAAAATAGAAAATTAATTTACAAAATAAACTGGTCATTTGCTACACTACAAAACGCACAAGATACATTCTTACCAAGTATGAGAAGTGTGATCCCATTAAACACAGCGCCTACATAGGTCATCAGCCACATGAAAAGGGCAAGCTGTTAAAAAAAAAAAAAAAAAAAAAAAAAAAAAAATCAACAAAGTAAAAACTATTGTAGTATTTGACTTGATTACTCACTATTCATACAGAAAAAAAATTTACGTGTTTTTTTAATTCTGGATCTTGGAGTAAAGGACAGGTTGGATATTCATAGATTCTGGGTTATAGGCTATACCTATAGCTGGCTGAACACTGGCAAAGCTTTTGCACACACCTCTCTTGGGCATACCCCTATAAACCCTACTCTGCTATGTGAAACCTCAGTTTTTTAGCAAGCAATGCAGAGTTAACACATGAACAGAGGGGTGGCTTGTGTCATGTACTGTGCTCTAAGAAATGGAATTTACATGCAAGTCAAAATACTTTTTATCCCAATTGTATGGGAAACAGGCTGAATATTAACAGACCCTGGGTTGTTATCAAGGAATGGATCAGAAGGGTGGGAAACACAAGGCAAACAGAATGGTACCAATGGGCCCAACTAAAGAGAAAAGAGTCAAAAGATCCGATTCTGAGTGCAGCAGAAAGAACACTGGTCAAAAGCACCATTCACAAAGGCCTGGACATCCATCTAGTATAACTTGGAAAACGTGTGAACAGAAGACTAGATGGCAGCCTTAAAAAACTAAGAAACAGACGCTTGATGGTGAATTACCCTGGAAAAGCTCACTGATCAGATGGATAGAGCAGGTAAGGGTACAGGAGGTGCCATATCTTTTACTGTATAGGCTCTTACAATGAGCTGTCTTATCCACATGGAAATAGTGGACTTGGAGGCAGGGCGTACTTTTGCAAGAGCCTGATAGCAGAATAAAAAGTATTTTTCATATAGAGGCTATATGGACAGTCTTGAATGTCCAAAATAATGGAGAGCAATTTTCTTGGGATGCTTGGGAGAGGGGCACAGGGAAGGTAGGACAACATGTTCATAAAAAGTTGGAAGGCTAATACTACTTTAGGAAGAAAGGGGGTCATGAGCGTAAAACCATCTTATCCATGTGAAGGATTAGGAAAGGCTCCTTACAAGAGAGTCACTAACTTAAAAACATGTCTGACAGACATGATGGCAACCAAGAAGACCACTTTGCATGAGAGATCAAATAAGAGGAGTTCCCTTATGGATTCAAAGGGTGGCTTCTGCAGCACAGAGAGGACCCGATTAATATCCCAATGGAAGCACAGGGTGCTGTAATGAGGTCTTGTCTGTGAAATACCTTGAATAAAGCTCTTCACTGGACAGGCTAAAGGCTTTTATATTAGGATGGACGAGGCTGAAACCTGTCTTTTAACCTCTTTCCATCCAGCATATGCAGATATATTTCCCGGATGGGAAGTGGTTATACAATAGGATCATGGCTGCAGTTGCCATTATATTGCTGCCATTTTATAGAGCCAGCAATCGGCCTCTCTGTATAATTGATCCAAGAGGCTCTACAGCCGCTGGATCATTCTATTACAGGGCTCAGAAGGCCATTCCCTCCACCCCCCTCCCCCAGCGCCATTCCCAAGCTCTTGGGGAGCATAGGACTGCTTTAAATGGTTGGGTCAGCTGCCCACAGAGGAGAAAGAACTATTGGCGGATGTTGATGACACCCAGTGATCCACTAGAGACTAGCTCTGAATGGTGGAAATTTTACTTCCAAGTTTGAAAATGTAATCACTCAACAAGTGAATAACATTAAAAACAAATTCCTGGTTTCCAGATAGTGTCTCCTGAATAGTATTCATTTTTATAAATAAACCGATACGCTAATGTTTATCGCATATACTATATGCATTTAATACAAAATATCTCATGCAATATGTAAAGTGTCAAATCACTACTGGTAAATACAACAAATGTGATAATTCCCTGAGGTAAACGTCAAAAAAAACACAAAAAACAAAAGTGATTACATTAAAAGTCAATTCACAGCCGACAGGAAGATGTAAACAAAGCAGCAGGAACAGTGTTAAAAGGCCTGGTATGGATTTGGGAGAAACCCTCACCTTTTTTTTTTTTTTTTTAAGTCTGGTATAAATTTTAAGGTAGACCCACAGGAAAAAAAAAAAAAAAAAAAAAAAAAAAGAGGCTTGATATCCCCCTCAAATTCCATACCAGCCACATGCCCTGAACACCTTGTCCCCATATTGATGAGGACATGGGACTTTTCCCCCACACATTTCCAACAGTCATGCTGGTACTTGCGTGGGTCCTTCGGAGCATCACCTTGCACTCTACCAAAAGCAGATTTGTAAGGAGCACCTTCCCCTTCTGACAATGCTACAGCCCAGCTAGGCTTCTGCTCCTCATCCCCCAAAGCGTCAGATACTTTTAGGGGGAGCATTCCTGGATACTGGTGTCGAGTTAAATATGCCCAAGGAAAGTGTGTCCACAAATTTTGCCACTGTCCCATCACCTGCAAGTAGCAGCCTAAAACCCAAAGTCTATGAATATCTAACCTGTGCCCTGCACTATACAATTAAGATATTTACACAAGTCTAGTGTAAAGCAATGAAAACCTTCCTCACCTTGAGCGAGTCTACTAAGTCCTCCACAAGAAAGAGGCGTACAATGTGCTTCAAAGCACTGTTGATGTGAACAAGGGATGAGCTCACTTTCTTCTGGAAGCTGTCAGAGGAAAGGGTGATGTCTTGATCCAGAAGAGCCCTATAAAATAAACAGAAACATTCATGTAGCAGGTATTTTTTGGATGCATTTGATGAGATACTGTGCCAAACTCTGAGGGTGGAAAAAATACTATGCTTTGAACTAGACTGGTGTTCTTTAGAGGGTGACAATTTTAGGAGTGTTTTTATGTTAAGACAGGATGGATTGTAATAATTGTTTTTACTGCAGTGTAGTATGGCAAGAGTTTATATCATATTGAGCATCTAAATTCATAGTAACTTTTATACTTACTGCTTTGTAGATATTTAATAGATCTGAACACACAGATACCAAGGACCCATCACGCTGTGTTGTTAATGTGTGATTCACATGCAGTTCTGTGCAGTGCGATTTGAAAATGAATGGGCTGAGATCACACGTCACCAAAAGTAGTGCATTCACAACTTTTGGAAACGCACAGCAACAGGAATGCATAGTGGTTATGTACCATGCAATCTGGTGCGAGCAAATGCACTGCATTTGTGACCCGTGTTTGGGGTGTAGGTAGCAGATTACAAGGGCAGTGCGACTGGAAAGCGGTGCAGGAAGCTGGAACAGAACGTGGGTGTCCAGCACCGCATTCTAGTATGAATCACTCACCTTCTTGAATGTTTAGAAACACGGTGTAAACTTTCTGAATGCTATCTTCATACTTGATAATCATATTAAAACCTGAACTCCAAGCAGAAAAATACCAACCAATGCATTTATGTATTCATTACAACTATTACCCCTAAATTTTTAAATGAAGTGCAAGTGAATTAGACTTGGTAGCAGCTTCCTGTTATCCCAATTAAGGCTACTTTCACAATGATCCGCTGCAAAAACACAGCAAAACCGCATAGGCGTTTTCACCATGCTGAGCATTTTAAAAGACACAGGACTTAAAAACTGTACCAAAAACACTTTGCAGAGGTGTTTTTCAGTTTTCCACTGATTTCAATTGGAAGAGGTGTTTTTTTTTTCTTACCAAACATGTCCCAAAGATGCTTCAAGCAGGAGTTTTTATACCACTCTGCAAGCACAACGCCTCAGTGTGAAAACATACATAGATATACATTTACATACATGGGGAAACTAGCTTTTCAGGTGCTTTTTTAATGCAAAAACACTTAAAAAACTCTTCAGTGTGAAAGTCTCCTTACAGCAGTACTCAAACTTGAAGTCAGAACTAGGAGCAAATCAAGTGTGCATGCACACATGCTGACAGATACAGAGAGCAGAGTGCGCATAAGAATTTGCTTCTTCTCTACTATTGTGTCACAGGCTGTGGGCAGGGAGAAGACCAGGCTGTAATGCATATTTTTGCAGAAGAAGAAAGCCTGGACATAATTAACAGTGTTGTCTGACAGGGTTTTGTTTTTTTCTCAGATCTGCATGAATAGAATTAAAACTCCTGTCACAGGCAGTATAGCGGAGTTTTAACCAGGGCTGTGGAGTCGGAGTCGTAGGAAATTTTGGGTACCTGGAGTCGGAATCGGAGTCGGCAAACAATGCTCCGACTAAATTTAGATTGGAATTAAAAAAAAAGCAAGTTTAAATGTCCCAATTCACAAAAAGTTATAATTAATGACTTCTCTACTGTAAGAATAAAGACCAATGCATGCAGTGCCTCACGTAACCGCAAAACGAACACGTTAAGTGACCGTGAAGAAGCATGCTTTTCATGTGCTTCACTATATGGCACGCAACGCACAATTAGGAGCGGCAATACTTATACTTTCCATAGTGTTTTACAGATTTTGTTTTTGGCTCATATAGATAAGCTTTGTTTTTGTTCTAAAAACAACCAAATAATGTGGTTTGTATTTTTGGACTGGTAAAGTTCCTGATGTTTATGCCTGCTGCTACTATCCAGACACTTGATTAATTAATAAAAGAAAAAAATAAAACTTTGTTTTCATTGTGTTTGTCTTTTGCTTAAACTGTTCAATACAGTAGACTGTTGGCTTCCCAGCCAGTAGTCCTGTGGTAATGACATGTATGTTGCCTTTCTTTCCTTCAAGGAATGTATAAAATACATTTGCATATTAATACAGAGGAGTCTGAGTCAGAAGTACAAAAAACTAGGAGTCGGAACATTTATCTACCGACTCCACAGCCCTGATTTTAACTTTGTATTTAGCGGCTTGTCTAAAGTTCAACTTTAAGTTATTTGTATTAGCTCATAAGAGATGGGGAATTCTGTCCGTGCCAAGCAATTATATCATTTCAGAGTTGTGATAATCATGGCTTTTTTGTTTGATGAATGGGGGGGGGGGGGGGCTATCAGTGTATGCAGTATTTCAATAGTACAGCTTCTGAGTGGGCTACTGCTGAAATTCTTTTTATAACTAATACCATCACGTTCTGTTGTACATATTACTAAAAGTAACATCAAGTTATCCTTTAACTTGGTATTTTGTGGACAATTAGCAACATAGCTCATAATTCACACCACATCTGTATAAATCACAATCAGTAGGACTGCCTTGTATCATGTACCTATGAGGAGATTTAAAGGAAACCTGTAATAAAAATATGATGGCTGTAACTGCTGTCCTCCTCATGAAAACGCTAGTTGTCTATGCCTTATTCTCAATACTTAAATTCCTAGCCCAATAAAACAAAGCTATTCAAACCCAGTGAAGTCAAAACTGATCTGCATACTTGCTCTAAGCGACAGCATAACAGCTAGGAATTGGCATTTCCAAAAGGAAAGTTTGGTAATGGTAGCCTTTGCTTCAGTACAGTAATCAGCTAAATATGCCAAATGTCCAAAGGGCTGACATGTCAGGAACAAATCTTTAATTCACAACAATCTCTTCTTTTGCAGTGGTAATGAAGAAAAAAAACACATGCAAGGTTTAGCAGACACAATTAGGTGCTGTAACATAGCTCGTACTTACAGTCCAACCCTTCAAAGAACACCTTCACCCCCACCCATTTCTATTTCTTTAAAGTAGAACTAAAAGGCATTTTTCCCCCATTTTGGAGTAAGGAGAGGGTTAGAACCCCTATCAGATTTTTATTCACCATCTGTGTCCCATTGAGGAGATTCCCCTTCACTTCTTGTCCTATAAACAAACAGGAAGTGAGAGGAAATCTTTGTAAAGGGAATCCCTTGGGGAACGCCAGGTCACCAGAACTAGTGTTCCCTTTGGAAGATTTTACCTTTATTACTTTTCTGAGGACAACCCGAAATTTGGGTTTTTTATTTACTTTCATTTGGTAGAGGGGTGAATCTCCCTAAGAAGGGGGGGGGGGGGCAGACAGCAATAAAAACTGACAGGTGTTTCTCTACTCCACCTCCACTCCATCCAAAATGAAAAAAAAAAAAAAATAAAGTTTTGCCTTTAAAATATACTATAAGTGACTTTTAGTGCAGTACAACTAAATATACAATATTTTATCAAGAGAGTATATTTTTCATTATCAAAATCTGCAAAGACAGCCATAGTCTCGTTACTAAAACCAAAGCATGACTGTCCGCAGAAATGCAACACCAGCTCAGCACAGTGAGACCCCTGCAACCACATCATGCACAACTGAACAATTAGCTGCACAAGGTCTCCTAAATAATGTCGCTAAACACAGTTCTTACTTGAATGGATGTCCCTCATCAGACTTCTGGACGGCTTGCATGACAGATTTGTAGATACGGAAGCTAATTGTGACAGTCAGCAAGGACAATACGAGATACGATACGACACTAATGATGCTAAATGCTGCCAAGGACAAAAGCAGCACCATAGTGGCTCCAAATACCATCCCAGATTTCTTCAAATCTCTCCAGTACAGCAGATCATGAACTGAAAAAAAAGAAAAATAAAAGAGACCATTTTAAATTTTGCCCACATCAAATCATTCACATATGCACAGAACAGTTTATTCGAAAGACCCAGCTTACATTAATGTCAATTAACATTTTGATTGGCAAAATATTGACCATACACAAAGGCTAACGACAATTAAGTTTATTTTTAGGAATCACTAAAAACTTTTAGGCAGGTGTCATGTCCTGAGCAATAATCCAATGTTAAGGTTATCCATAAAAGGTCCGACTTTCTCTAGGAGAAGCAATCATTGCTTGAATTAATTGGGAAATATCTGGCCTAACGAACGACCAACGCAATACGCTTTGGCTGTAAAGCTCTTCTAGCAGGCATGAAAATATGCACCCGATTAATTCCTTTTTACTTCTAGAAAAGGTATAATCATTTTAACATGTATGATTCCATAAGAAATTCACTCAGATCACTGGAAAAATTTAGAGTAGATTTATGTGTGTTGTCGCTGTTCCTCTTCTACACTGAAGCTAACACTGGGAGCCAATCATGTGACCAGACTGGAGCACCTTCAGAATAGGCAAGTATGGGACATCTTTCTTTTACAGGATAGTTACAATAGACTTAGAATGAAGGAGGGAACAGGGTTAGATATAGGTAGTATTTTACATTATTTTACTGAAATAAAGTTACCCTTACAAGTACTTATTAATTATAGTACTTACATAGCGCAACCAATTTAACATATTAACCACTTCCTGTCCGGCCCATGTACATAAACGGCTAGACAGGAGCAGTGCAGGAGCGGGTGGCCATTTATAAACCGGCCTCTGCATTCCCTGCCTGTGCGCGCTTCCTGGGAGCGCGCGGCACCGCAATCCAAGCGGAACACTGATCGCTGTACGGGACCTCTGTGTGAAGTCCCGATCATATGATCACGGATTGGCCAATCCGTGATCACATGAATAGTAAGCAAGAGGTCACTTCCTGACATAATTGCTTACTACTTGAGAAATCTGTGAATGATCACAGAGCTCACATGGTAAAAGGCTATTCACAACAGCCTTGTACCATGCCTTGTGACCAATCACAGCTCACACAGTATTTCTCGATGGCTGCAAGAATGCAGCCAGAGAGAAGGGAAAATTATTGCTTTTACAGCCTTTATGGGTGTAAAAGCAATCAGTGTAAAAAAAAAAATCTTCACCACCCCCCACAAGTAGCACAATGTCACTATGGTGACAGTATGTTAAAAAAAAAAAAAAAAAAAAAAAAGCAAAAATGTAAAAAATTTTTTGAAAAATAATTTTTGGTTCTAAACTACTTTGGGTTTTTTTTTTTTTTTACCAAAAAGATAGCTAAATACATTTTGGCCAAGATTTATGAAGAAAGATTATTTATTTGCAAAACGTTTGAACTTTTTCATTTATATAGCAAGAAAATAAAAATCCCAGTGGTGAATAAATACCACCAAAATAAAGTTATATCTGTCTCAAATTAAATGCTAAAAAAATTCATATGGGTACAGTGTTGCATGACCACGCAATTGTCATTCAAAGTGTGATAGCACTAACAGCTGAAAATTGGCCTGGACAGGAAGGGGGTGAAAGTGTCCAGACTTGAAGTTAAACATTCACATCAGTCCCTGCCCTCAAGAAGCTTACAATCTAAGGTCTCAAAATGCACATACATACACATACTAATTTTTACCTACCAGTATGTCCTTGGAGTGTGGGAGGAAACCGGAGTACTCAGAAACCCACACAGGCACAGGGAGAACAAGTAGAATCCAGGCAGTTAGTGCCGTGGTTGGGAATTGAACCAACGATGCTAGTGCTGCTAGGCAGAAGTGCTAACCACTTAGCCACTATGCTACACACATCACTTAGAATGTATGCCCTTAACGCAAAGTATTTCAGATGCTAGGACCACTTTAAGCAATGCTATGCACATCAGTACTTGAGATGAGCTGTACTAAAAGAAATTCAAGTTGAAAACCCAAGTTGAGATGGTGAAGTAAGGGACTGATCTGTGCATTAAGGTAAAAATCTACTTCCTTTACAACCACTTTAGGCTAAATACATTCATACATTCCGTCTCACCTGGGAAAATGCTTGTCACAATCATCCAACAATTATAAATGGACCCCTAATGGCACGTTTACACTTACTTCAAAACGAGGCTTCATACAAGCTTTTTAAAGCGCTCCGAATGCCAATCAAAGCACTTCTCACTAAATCAAAATAAAATGGTTACCTTACATTCCTGTTCACATGGTTGTGTTTGCTTCAAAAATTATACCCCATGTTGCTTTCTTGGTGCTGCAAAGTGTCTCAAAGCCTCCATAGCAGTCTATGACAAAGCTCGCTAACAGCACCTGCAGCTTTTGGAGGGACTTTTAGTTAAAGTTAGCTCTGCTTTGTTTTGCATGTATTGCAGGAAACCAAACACGTGAACCTGAAAGACGTCATCAGTCATGTCCGATTCATGTGTATACATTCTGGAAGTGCATGGTGCAAACCTCACATCTGGTTTGCAGCATGGAGCAACAGGAAAGTAGGGTCTGGACCGGAGCGAAGCAATTAGCAGATGTTGCACACGTGATGTGCAATATGGGAAGCAGAAAAAGAGGGGGATTGGAGAGAAAGAGGGCTGCATAGGATCAACAGAGCTGGGGGACCAGAGCAAGATGTCACATGTGTTGTGCAGAATATAGTGGGAGGTGAGCAGTGACTGGAAAGAAAGGAAGATCAGCAAACCAGAGGATCAGCAGAGCTGGGGGGACTAATGGGCGGGGAATCTGCTGAATGGAGGTACTAATGGGTGGGGGACCTGCTGAATGGAGGTACTAATGAGTGGGGGACCTGCTGAATGGAGGTACTAATGAGTGCTGCTGAATGGAGGTACTAATGAGTGGGGGACCTGCTGAATGGAGGTACTAATGAGTGGGGGACCTGCTGAATGGAGGTACTAATGAGTGGGGGACCTGCTGAATGGAGGTACTAATGATTCACCAAAAATCCATTATCTCCTGCGCTCAAAGACTCAGATCAAACGGGCGGATAACAGTGTGTTCATCCGCTGGTGATCAGAGGTTGTGCAGCTCAATCAAGAAGCTGGGGAAGCTTGATGAAACTGTAGAAGGGGATGAAAGAGCGCACAAACCTTGCGCATTACCTCAAGAAATCGTGACTGTTATTTTATTTAGGAAATATACTCACAAAAGTGATGGTAAAACAGGCATAAGTTAATTATAATCCACACAGGGTTACAGGTAAATCCAAAAGGGGGGGGGGGGGGATAATGAATGTCTCCTTGCTATGGGAACTCTGCTATACTGAAGTTTCTATCTGCCAAACCCAGCTCTGATGAAGAAGGGAGCACCCTTCGAAATGCATTAGCTTTTACCCCCCCCCCCCCCTTTGGATTTACCTGTAACCCTGTGTGGATTATGGTCAACTTATGCCTGTTTTACCGTCACTTTTGTGAGTATATTTCCTAAATAAAATAACATTAGTCACTATTTCTTGAGGTAATGCGCAAGGTTTGTGCGCTCTTTCTTCCGTCCCTTTCTTCTGGAGGTACTAATGAGCCAGGGTTCTATTGGGCCCCTAGAAAATCCACACACACAGCATTTGCCAAGTTTCAAAAAAAGCATCACAAAAGCACCACAGACGTATCGAAAACACATCAGAAAAGCATGTTGAAGTGGTAGGCAAAGCAAATAAGTTGAAGCAAGTGTGAACGAGCCCCAAGTGTATCTTTAGATAGTACTTTAGTACTGAAAAAAGGGCTCGGCAAATTGTGACAGAATTCTAGAGGCAATAATTAGAATCAAGTAGTCATCAGAGACTGATTACTACTGATACAACAACAAAAATAGAAAAGGCTGGGAAAACAAGGTAGACATGATCATTTTCTGGGCGTACAGACAACCAGCAAAAAACTGCCACAGGGATGTTGAATTTATATCGCCCGACGTCCGGGATATGTAGTTCGGGCAGGTCGTTTTTTTTTTCTGACTTTAGGCCTGCTCCAGGCAAGCAGCAGGGCTCATCTGTCAGGTGGAAGCATTCAGGCAGGCAAGCGCTGCCACCAATTGCTTCCACACAGTGCCAGCCTCTCCCCTCGCGTGAGGTATCCCGGTCTCTGCTTGCCCATCTGCGGGCCCGGGACCGGTTTACTGCTGTTGGCTAGAGGGGAGGGAGGAGAGTGGACATGTCCACTCCCCTCCCCTTCTTGTCCTGACCCGGAAGTGACGTTATGATGTCACTTTCAGGTCCCCCGTTGACAGGTGTTTTTTTTTTTTATTGTAAAAAATTAAAGTGACACCCATATAACATCCCCCCCGGAGTCGATTTACAAGTGGATCTTTAGAAAAACACTAAACTAGACACATACGGTTTACAAGTGTCTTTAGAAAATATAGGGTACTGAAGCTCGCCGCCATTTCACGAGCGCACGCAAATTTAAGGTTTGACATGTTGGATATCTATTTACTCGGAGCAACTTCATCTTTTACAAAAAAAAAAAAAAATTAAAAATTAGGGTAATTTATTGCTTTTTTGTGCCCTAATATTAACTTGGATTTTTACTGACATTTTGCGGTAATATCATGCAACATAAAAAATTAGAACTTCCACTATTTTATTCTTTAGGTTCTCTGCTTTCAGAAAATAGATGTTTGGGGGTTTTATGTACTCTTCAGGACTAAAATGATTTTTAAACTTGTATAAAAACCAAAAAACGCAAAAAAAAAAAAAAAACGGCTCTGGCAGCGAAAGGGATCAAGGATAAGCCTGACACTCTCCTTCCCTGACGAGCAGCCAATCGGTGCTCATTACACTGCAATGTCTCTCTCCTCCCTGCAAGTCCCAGGGTGCGGTGCTGGAGACAGGCAGGGAGGGGAGGAGATAAACAATGCAATGTTCAAATTATTACACGTTTAAGTCGCCATAAAGCCCCTTTTGTTTTTAAAAGCCCCAGACATTCCTAAAAGCACCTCCAATTTAAATACAGTTTTGGTAAAATGTATTTATTTTTTTATCTGGACAAGTCGATTGTCATGTGTGACAAGTAGATCGGGACACCGATTTAGTCCATGGACAAATAGTTTTTTTTTTAATTTTCACACCCCTGCTGCCACTTTTAACATATCAGTGCATCAACACTGAGATCCACCATCCCTCATCAGCAATGCCCCACCCTGGCTGTTATACATTTACTTGTAATAATGTTCACATATGTTCTTTTAAATGATAATGCCAGGTAAAACTGGTGTTCAGGATAACTCATTCATCCCAAAAATAATTTCCGCTGGCTTTGAAACCGTTTTTTTTTTTTTTTTTTGCAATTCTGCGATAAAGGAAGTGGCTGCCAAGCAGAACAGTACATAGTCTATTTTAACATTAACAGTATGGTCCCAGCAGGTCCTGGAATATCCTAAAGTGGCTGTAAATGCTTAAATATACCCAGTGAAGTGACTAGCCTCAGATGATACACAGATTAAACAAACCCTCCTACATAAGTTGTACAGGTTTATCTGCACCTTTTCTACAGTCAAAGTGCATAATTTAAACAACTTGCCTGAGCTTTCAGACATCAGGAGGCAGGGGAGCTGCCGTTACACTTTGCAAAGCTCAGTGTAATGGCAGCTCTGCAAAGTACTGGAGGGAATGGACACCCCTCCCACAGCAACATAGGCTGTCATTTACAGGCTGTGTGCCGGAGCTCCCCACCGTCACCTTTTTTCCCTCTTGGTATTAGGAAAACTTGCCAGAAACTGACAGCAGAGGTAAAAGGCAGACAGAAAATGACACTAAGTTTTGTGGATTGAGACAAGTACACGTTACAGAGGGATAGGCTTTGTTCAAATTTCACATCAGAGGTTTACGACCATGTGTGTAAAAACAGTTGTGCACAGTAAGTACACACATGTCACACATGGAGGAAGATATAATGCTACACAGTTTTATACAGGACTATGAAATGTAGAAGTTAACCTAGCTGCTGTGTCTATTTGTCTCTCTCTTTCAATATTAATTTTCAATCTAAAAAACCCACAATCAAATTATCAACCTAGATTACTTGCATGTTTCATCCATTTCAATATTGCTTATTTGCCCTTCATGACAACTGTTCTTGCAGGAACAGACCTGCAGCTGTACCGACCCAAATACACGCTACTGGTTCCTGATCTGACAACAGACTGTACATTTCCACTTTTATAGCTAGTATATCCAATTATACAATAACAAATAAATAAAACCATAAATCAGACTGTCAAATCTATAAAAAGACACGGTCTGACAAAAGGTATGATTAAATCTGATAGGAGTTCCACGCCATGGTCATGTAACAAACAGAGGAGAGACAATAGGAATAATCTACACCACCCATCTCATACCCAAGCACATATCTATAAACCTAGAGTGTTACAAACTGCCCAATAGCTTACAGATGAAAAAAGAATCATGTACGAGTGATGGATCACTATATAAACACTGGTGCAGCCTTGTGGGACAGATGAAATGCATTTGTTAAAATATATGTAAAGAACAAATTTTTCATTTTAAAAAGTTTGGCAAAAAAGCAGCAGTTTTGGAGGCTGCTGTGGCCCAGCTGGGGTGATTCACCATCTCTACTGGTTCTGAAGACCATTGTCTCCTGTACAGAAAGTAATTGGAAAACCTACATTTTTGAGTTGAAGTACAGAAGGTGAGGGGACTCTTCAAATGTGGAAACCTGTTCTGGTGACAACTGTCTAGGAGTGATATATACTCGCCTTGGAGATTCTACTCTTACTACCTGCTGTGCCTCTGACAGGAAGTAAAGGAAAATTTCCCTGACAGAACCCCAAAAACACACACACACACACACACACACACCCACAACAAACTTTGCCAGGTTTCCTTATGTGACTTAGGCTATTCTATAAATGATGCCATAACTCACATCTAGGCAAAAAAAAATTCAAGATTTACTAACATGTTTGCCTTTTAAACTTTTTCATACATCAGTGTTTTCTACCAGATAAGTGCCAACAGCCTAATATACACTACTGTAAAAGCTACAGTAAGAAATCTGTTTGCAACATTAAAACACACCTAACAGTAATGATTTCAATTTTAAAAACAAAAACTTTGCAGGTAGAGATGAGAATGCAGGTACATAATAAATATTTATACGTAAATACATAAACACGTACAGAAGGTCAGAAGGGAAGGTGCATGAAGGGAGGATGCACGCATGCTACTTTGAATTTATATATAAAAAGTACATATAGGCAGGAAAGCAGGTAAAGGTAATACTTGATAGCCGTGCATGGCAGCAATGTGCAAAGACAGGGCAGGTTGCTGTGCCAAGAGCAAGTTGAGCATGCTGGAAAGGCATCAAAGATGTGCAACTGGGCATGTATGATGCATGCCTGCAATGGGCATCTACAGTGCATGCTACTGGTTCTTTGCCCATGCCAACAGTGCATGCCGACAACAGATGAATAGGCACGAGCGGTGTAAGTCAACAATGTGAGGGTCATGCCAACGGTGCACTGGATAAGAAGTCTTCTTTACCTTTGAAGGTCAGAATATCAACTGCGGAATCCTGGATCGATTCTGTGGAAGCTTGAAACGAAGTTGTCTTCAACCTTTCATAGCTGCCAAACGAGGACACAAAATCTCTGGAGAGGATTCCTGGCTTTCTGAATTCCAGTCTTGTGTCCCATCTGCCAAAGCTCTTAGAGCTTCAATAGTTAGATTCTCCTCTACTTGGTCTTCCAGGGATTCAGACTCTGAATAGCAAATCACCCCAGTATTATGGTCGGTACCGTAAGTTTCTGCTAGATCTACAAAGCCTTCACTATGAGGGGATTCTGGGGTTTTTGATGCAGATTTGTTCAAACGATCTGTAGCATCTACTAAAAGTGTAGTTTGGGTTTCACTGTATTGCGATGACCACGGAAGTTCTGAGTTATTGGCAAGTGTCTCATGTACCGTTACATCTTCCTTCTTGGTCTCATTTTTCTGCTGTGCGTTATGCAGCTCAATCCAACCATCCTCGCTGTGTTCTTTCTGCTCCAGTTCTGAACCCTTGACCCTCCAACCAGCGTCTATTACTGTGTCATCTGACTCCCCTGAGCTGTCCATGTCATCATCTGCATCTGGCCAACGAACCTCTGATTTTAAATCATATGAATGCTCCTCCCTTTTTGCAGAGCTGTGGTCTTTTGCTTCACCACAGACATCTTGGGTCTCTAGACTTTGCCCCAAGTACCTTTCATCTACTGAGGATTTAGGAAGCACTTTTTCATACATGAGTTCAAGTCCATCATCTTTTTGATTTTCATTTGGTTCAACTACAGGGATCTCAGGCTCCAAAACATCATTTCTTATACCATTGTCTAGAGTGTGGCATAAAACCATACGATTCTTCCTCGTTGAAACACCAAGTTGGGTGTGTATATCTAATCAGTGGTTCATTGGCTTTCTCCATTTGGTTAGAAGACCTTTGTGCAGACATCTCTGAAAGTCCATAATGAATTGCTTTGTCTTCACTTTCTTTGAAATCAAAGCCCGCGCTGTTGGAAATCATCTCAAAAGGAGACCCAGGTGATTCTGGACTGGGATGTTTTGGATGGGAGTCTGGAGAGAAGGTGTCAAAGAAAATTCTGTAAAGCCTTTCCCACTAATAAAGTGCCTTCTACAACAGGGCAATGTTAAACAGCTGACTTAGAAATATTGGAAGCTCATGTAAGATAAGGGTCTACCATAAAAAAAAATTTTTGTACTTGTAAATCTTTTTATTCAGTGTTCATTAAGGGACACAGCACCATAGATTCATATACATTTATGATACATTGCGAACTAAAGAAGGATTGGGCACCAAGTGAAAACATAGCTAGCATTAGTGGTTATATACTTGTACCATTAGTACAGTTCAGTTGTAGGTCGCAATAATAAAACCGGAAAAATATTGGAGGGTAATTAGCCCCCCAAAAAGATAACCAAATAAGAGGGGAGGCTGTGACCCTCAATGAACACTGGAAAAAAGGATTTTACAGAAAGTAAAGAAAAAAAGTCTTATTTTTTTTTCCATCATTCACTGAGAGACAACATCACAGACTTTATAGATTTTATAAAATTCAAAAGGAGCTCCTACAACGAAGGATGGGCAATGACACCCAAAACAAATCCAAGGTACAAACCTTGCAGTCCAAAGAAAAAATAAAATAGGTGTTTACACAGCCAACTGCAGGTCCTTATGGCCAAAGTAAATTTTCATTGATGCAGCCATATCCACCTTAATAGAACTGTGAGAAGGGAAGACCCATGTCACAATTTGTCAGACAAAGCCTGATGGAGGCTTATCCCAAGAGGAACTAAATGCTCTGGTAGTGTGAGAGGTGACTGTAAAACATGGACCCTATTGTTCATATAAGCCCGAATATAAGCCTGTCTCAAATCCATTGTGAGATGATCACACAAGAAGCATACTCTTATGCGGACAATCAAGGATAAGGAATAGAGAATCAAATGCTTTAAAAAGGAAGCAGTGGCCTTAGGGTAAACCTTGGACACTAACCTCTAATCTAGGGAATGGAGGGCAAATTTTTATGGATGAATCAAAGCCAGAATGAAAAAAAAAAAAACCCAAAAAAACAATGTCCTTGTTGAGGTAAAAATAAAATAAAAAACTGTATGTACAAATGTTTGTCCAAGTCTTCAACTAACTTTGTCCCTCTGTAATACAAGGAAAAAGGAGCCTTGCAGAGTAAAGCTTTCTGCTCCAAAATCCTCTCGGCCAAGATAAAGACACTTTCTCAAAAAAAAAGAAAAAAAAAAAAAAAAAAGGGAAGAGGAGACTTTACTGGTGTAGTCCCTTCCTGGTGGAAGGAGGCAATAACTAGAAGAACTGACTGCATATGGAACCTCACAAAAAAATGAGTTCTGATCCATGACTGACTTAGAATGGCAGAATTATCCAAAGCCCTTGAAATGTTCCACAGCAAAAATTGGAACAATTACCATAAAGGAGGGTTGCAGAACACGGAGGGGAAATATTCCAAGCTAGGGATCTTTTGGAAGTTGTGTAAACCGGAGATCAGTAGGTGTAAGAGACTTGCTTGCAAGCTCTAAAGTGGTAGTAAAGGTTTTTTTTTTTTGTTTTTTTTAAATGATAAACATGGTAAGTAAATACTTACCTGCTCTGTGCAATGTTTTGCAAATAGTGGCCAAAACCTCCTCCTTCTGGGGTCCCCCAACAGTGCTCTTCACTCCTCCTCTTCTCTGAGTGCTCCCATAGCAAGCTAGTTACAGAAGCATTCACGCGGGAGCATTCTCTAGCTGGACTGTGCGTGTTTTGACTACAGCAGCATGAGCCAACGGGTAAAGGGGAAGGTTAGGGGGAGCAGCTTTTTAAAGGTTTTTTTTTCCCCCCTTATGCAGAGAATGTATTAATGTAAAAAACATTTTGCCTTTATAACCAATTTATAGCTTTTGGATTGCCAGGTTAGTTTAAAGCCAGTCATGGTGGCCATTTTAGGAGCTCAAGTAGTCTTGGAAAAAGTTCTGTTTTTGCACAGAAGAAGGTGGTGTACGTGTATAGCAGGTTCTCCCATTTGTGAGGCTAGAAGAAATTAGTGCTCTTCCCCACTATGATTTGCTTGATGATCACAACCAAGGTAACTTGGAAAGGTCTGTCCCAGTTGAAGGGAATATAAAGGAAGGGTCTTTTTTGATGTTTGATTGACCAATCAGCATTTTAGCCAGGGAGCCCCCCACAAAGAGGTTGTGCTAATGCGAGATACCAAAACTGCTGGAATCCAGAGCTGCATTGCATGTACTTCATGGCCTGAAGCATCTGCTCTGTCAACTGGATATGTTGCAGCAAATTTTCAAAGTGCATTTCCACTTTTGCAGCCAAACCGGGATAGAGCCTACTTTACATATTTGTTATATGTACCCATTCATATAGCATAAAAAAAAAAAAAAGTTTAAAATTGTAGCTTACCTTTTTAGAGGATCTATTCTAGACCCTCCAGCAAGGAAAAAATTCCAGGTAGTTTTCTTTGTGGGGTCGGGCTGCTGCTTGCCATAATCAACCCTGTCTGTATTTTTCAGGAAGATCTTCATTACCAATTGTAACTGGATTTGAATACTATCTGTCCTAGTAAAAAGGTGTAGAGGCTGTGCTAACATTGTAAGTTAATGAGGACAGACCCAGGACAGGCTCACTCTAACCATGTTCAAAAAACCCTGCAGTCAGCCATGACACCTTCTGAGAAACATCTAAAACGGTAAGAAATATATTTTAAAACTGCTAGGCATGATGCGTGAATGGGAAACACACAACAGTGGGGCTTCCTAAAATTTGACTGCAAAAGTGGAAATAATGCTTTAAATCAGATCCTGACTCAACAGCCTTGACCAACTGCTGTGTGCCAGACTAGAGTCCAAGTGAAAATAAGATGTATGATGGAACCAATGACTGAATACATGGATCTGGAAAGCGATTCCAATTTCTTGCCCATTTTGATAGAGGAAGCATCCTCGGCAGGAATGAGAGTCACTTTGTTCAGGAGGCAAGAAAAGGGCAGGGAAGAAAAACTTCTGAGCAGGAAGACTTGTCAAGTTGTTTCCACTACAAAAAACAAAAAAAAAAAAACAGACTGATCGTTCTCGCTATCAAGAGGGGACAGATTTCAACTGAGAGACCTATCTTCCAGCTAAAGAGAGACCAGATGATCAGGAGATCAAGGAATCAGGAGGCGGCAGGCACTTCCTGCAACCCTGCTGTTCAGCCTGGAGGAAAGTCTGAGTAAGCTGAAACTGCAAACCCTTCATTAGAGGAGAAGGTGTCAGAAGGAAGGTAGCTAGCTGCAAATGCAAATAAAGGTTTCAAAAGAAGGGTTCAGATGTGGTTGCAGAAGTAGCGTGAAAAGGGAGCTGCAGGTGTCACTGCACACAATGCCCTCAAATAGCACAAGCAGAATGCTTGTGGGAGTCACCAGCAATAGTATGGTGATTGATACACATTTGTTGTCAGGCATATTGCATTAGTAAATCTGTACATGTATGCCATGCAATGGTAGCATGAGGGGTTTTAGAATGCATTCTGAACCCAATAGAGCAGAATGTATGCAGCAACAGGAGTCTGTAATTGCTGGCCCACAATCTTGTAGTAATTGAAAGTGCTTTCAAGCAAAAATGGTGGTAAAATGTGTGGAGGCATGCTGTAAAGCACAGAGCCCATAAAAAAAAAAAAAACCCAGAAGAAGAGGCTGCTACAAGCTTAAAAGCACACCCAGAAACAGTAAAAGCAGTTACTTACTGCACAGGCAAGTCTTCAGAACCAGCCTGGAAATCAGGTGCTCTGGAACCTGGAGAGAGCTGCTGAAGTAAATTCACATGATCGAACATGGAAATTACAGGGTGCAACAGTCAACAGCAGTGCAAGCATTGTCCACATAAGCTTATGTAAAGACTGAGCCAATAGCAGGTCATCAGAGTAAAATTCCTGATTTTCAGATGACTGGAAAGATACTGTACTTTGCAGGTTGGAAAGCCAGACATCCCTTGATATCAAGATCTGCAGCAATGACACTACCAACCACTGCCTGAATGCAGATATCCACACACAAAATCTTGATCCAGCATAGCTGAAGAGAGATGTCCTACCATCACAGGACACAAAGCATAACTGAGCTGTACAGTAGGTATGAGGGTATAGCCACTCTAGAAAGAATGTCCCTCATTCGCTTTCACAAGACCAATCCTGTAGGTAGCTATATACCCCATATGTATTTGAATCAGTGGTGATGTGTCCCTCAAACAGAAAAATCATTATTAAAGTTCTGGTTCACATATTGGTGGCTCTAATATCAATTTTTACCTGAGCAGGAGAGGGTCATGCAGAATTGGTAGGCAACGGTTCAAGCAGTTTTATCCCTACTACCTAAATAATTTACATGTAGAGAATAAGGTTTGTCAAGCAAACAATTGCAAGTGAATGATGTCCTCCAGTGCAGTATGTAAAAACCATCTAGGTACTGGTTTACAATAACCCTCTCAAATTCAGGCAATTTGAAACTATACTTTATCCACTTCTTCAAAAGTTACAGATGGTGATATGGGGGAACCATTGTTTCCTTCACTTTATAATTTATGCTCCGATCCATAAATTGTTTATATCTACTTTGTAACATTTAAAATTCAACTCAAAATTATTACTTTAGTTACATGTGTAAAGGGATAAGAAATCTGGTGGTTGAAGTTACAGTCATGGCCAAAAATACTGGCACCCCTGCATTTCCGTTAGATAATGCACCACTTCGCCCAGAAAATTGTTGAAATTACAAATGTTTAGGCATTGTCATGTTTATTTCTTTTGTTTGTATTGGTATGGCACAAAAAAAAGGGAGAAACAAAAAGCCAAACCTGATACATTCCACGCAAAACCCCATAAATGGTCTGGATAAAATTATTGGCACCTTCTCAAAATTGTAAGAAATAATTGCATTCCAAGTCTGTGATGCTCCCGTAATTTGTAATTAAAGGATAAGTTCACCTTTGGGAACAAGTTACATGCCCCACCTGCTTTTAGGGTGGAACATGTAACATGTTCCCATAGCTGCAGCTGCGCCTGCCAACC